GCTATCAAAACTGAACTGAGAACTATGCGACAGTCTTAGCACAACGTACACAAATATGAGTGAAAACCTACTTTACTTCAAATTTGTAAATTAAAGACAATCGTGATGCTGCAAGGATGGAGTGAATCACTACTATACAACTGGTGCATGTTAGGAAGCACTTACAGTTATTTGACTATTCTGGTTGTATTTCCTTTGGTAACCAAAACTGTAAGAGAAGAACACAAAATAAACAATGTATAAACTCGTTATGTCAAATGTGCATGAAGGATGGCAGACATCCAGCAGAAGGACAGCCAGTGTTACAAACAACTCAAGACAGGAAAATGAAATGACTTCTGGTTTACCAGCAAGACTACCAATTTGGCCGTTTTCAAGTAGTGTGCAGAGAATGTCGACTCACTGTTAGCAATCACTGATAATTCCTTAAATCACTCTCAATCGTTAAGTGTGTTTAGGAAAACTTAAATCAAAACCCTCGTAAAACTCAGTTGAAATATGCAGCTTGAAATTATGACCAACTGTTAAATACTACTACTAAAACCTTGTCAACAGCCATTTCCCCTTTCAAGGTTTCATTGCTACAAAATCTGGCGGTTGTTTTCAGATGGAATAACAGTTGAAACATGGCCTACTACATTGGCTTTCAAAATGATACAAGAAACAGAGATTTTGTTGTATAATCCAGCCGTTATATACCTGGTGTACACAAGCAAACGAAATGCGTCCAGAAGAAGAACTTTCTGTCCAGATATTCATAAAAAGACGTATAGTTTTTAAAAATTTTTACGTCATCTGTCTTAGAAATGCTGCTGATGCTGGTTCCAGGTTAGTTTCGGCCAGTGGGTGTCTGTTTTATTACGTAAGGATGGCAGATACACGTCGTATGCACGTTGTTCTACCCCATGTGAGAAAAACCGATTGATTTTTCCATTTTACTCATATATTGCTAAGCTTAGCTACAGACATGATTCGCAGTCATTACAATCAGAAGTTTACAATGCTAGAAGTCTACATTTTCAGTTTTAAAGAACACGCGCGATCACACTCGTGAGTAGGCTATTTATAGAGTTGATTTGGAGGTCATTCCATAAAACATTTTTTTTTTTTTTTTTTCAACGCTAATAAAATCCTGGCACTGAAGTTTCAGCCTCTAAAGTGCAGGTTTTCCTTATAAAATTCGTCTTCAAAGAAGCACAAAATTCGACAT